AATGCACGTTCGTTATAAATAATTTGCTGTAATTTAAAATTGTCACGATCTATCACGATTGAAATTTTTTGACAAATTGCAATAGAACCTTAAATATCAATAAGATCTGAACAATCAATATAAATAATAGAACTATATATATATAAAATATTATATATATTATATATCAATAAAATCTAAATATCAATAAAACATATATATACTATACACTAAAGTATCAATAAATATCTAAACATCAATAAAACATATACACTATATATATTATATATCAATAAAATCTAAATATTAACAAAACATAAACACTATATACTAAAATATCAATAAATATCTGAATATCAATAAAAAATATACACTATATATATATATATATATATATATATTGTGTATGTTTTATTGATATTTAGATATTTATTGATATTTTAGTGTATAGTATTTAGTGTATATGTTTTATTGACATTTAGATATTTATTGATATTTTAGTGTGTAGTATATATGTTTTATTAACATTTAGATATTTATTAATATTTTAGAGTATAGTATATATGTTTTATTGATATTTAGATGTATATTGATATTTTTGTGTATAGTATATATGTTTTATTGATATTTAGATGTATATTGATATTTTCGTGTATAATATATATGTTTTATTGATATTTAGATGTTTATTGATACTTTAGTGTATAGTATATATGTTTTATTGATATATTATATATATATATATATATTAGATTTTATATATTAATAAAATCTAAATATCAATAAAACATTTTAGAAATACATTTGTAGTCTTCGTAACGCGACAGAAAGAATTCGCAGCAACGGAGCCTTGAACTTGGAGCAAGCTGGAAAGGGTTGACACGGATTTGCCTGCGATTGCCGGCCGCGTGCCACAACCCCAAGGATTAAGCGCAATTATTGGAACACTCTGGCAAACCGCAACCCGGTTTTCACACGCTCCTTCTCTATCTTGTTATGAAAGTTATTAACTCCGCTTTCCAATGGAAAAATGAAATAACAACATTAGCGCAGCAAATCCGGCTGGATTTGCGCCCTCGTACAGCGTAACTCGCACGTCAATCTCTCGGACACTTCTCACCGCAGACTAATATCTAGAGATTAGCGTGACGTTTGCATGAAACGATTAAAATAATACTCCGAGTATGAATTTCAATTTTCCTACGCGGTGTGTTTATTTTGTGTTCTAGTCTGTATTTAATTTAATAAAACAGCGAGGAACATAATTGTATCAACGATCATGAAGAATTGAATTCGGTAATTTTTCGAACTGATATAACTTCGTAAGACTATATAACTATCTATATATAACTATAATATAGCATAATAGACATAATATAACATAATAGACATAATATAACTATAATAAAACATAATAGACTATATAACTATCACATTCATCTTGTTTTAGAAGCGTAAAGCTTCTATTTTCATAGTCATAATCGAGTCTTTTTTTTTTTTTTTTTTGAAAAATGAAGAATTCCTTTTTTAAAAGTTCGATTCTTTTTTTTTTGAAAAATAAAGAATTCCTTTTTTAAAAGTTGTAAAAATTCAAATTGTGTAAAATCGTTAACAAATTTTTTTCGTAACCAGACCTATCATCATTTTAAATTATCTTATCTTTGTGATAACCCCATAAAATTATTGTATAATTTTTTTCACTGTTGTATGAAAGGTTGAACGATAAAAGCTCAAGAGAGATTCTAACATTTCGTCATCTAATCCCAACGTTCCAAGTTCAATGAAATGGTAAAAAAAATCATGGCATGGCTAACTGTCAGGAGAAAATTCATTGTAAAGAGAAAATTTCAATCTTCAAGAGTGTGGTAGATTTAGCGATAAAACATTCTTTAATGTTTTTGCATTAATTTAAATTTTGACAATTTTCGAGTGAAAAATATCTTTCCCATCCATTGCACGATGTGAAAATCATTTTCAAAGAAAGAAAAAAGAGGACGTACTCACGATTGTCAAACTAAAGGCTTCACTCTTTAAAATGAGACCAAGTTCTATTTAAAAATGGTCGTCAATTTTCCATTGTCACGTGCCACGAAATAAAATTAAATTTCAAAAGTGAATGAAAGACTGAGAAATCTGGTGCTTGAAATTTCAACAACACCGCGATGTGGTAATCTCACACGGCCGTACGCTCCATCCCAGAATCGTTATCAACCGGATAATTCGCGAATTATCGGCGGCTATAGCTCCTTTCACATTTCATCACGCCGCCATTCACCGGCTGAAACAATGAACAAGTTTCCCTGTGTGCGTGCGTCCTCGAACGTTGCAAGAAAGTGACACATAGCAATTGCGGGCAAATCGAACTGTTGCGAAACCAAGCTGGATGCAATGTTCGTTTCTAGCATCGGGCACGTGGCACGCTTCGATTGAAATTTTCGTTTCGTGAAAATGGAAACTTCCGCGAGTTCGAATTTCCCCGTGAAAAATTTAGATTGACGAATCCTAGGTGAACGTTCCGATAGAGATAGTTTGTACGTTTCATTTCAGGGAAACTTGTTCCTTTCCTCCGGCCAGTTTAGCATTGCTCGTGATACACTTTCGACGTCGTGCAACGTTCCTTTCGTTTTCACGTTATCACTCGTATCTTAATTACGTTGAGAAAGTTCGATGAAATCTAAAAAAAAACCTATCATGGATTTAGTTACAAGATTAATCGATCACTCGATGGAAAAGCTAGTGAATTTTCAATTTAGAACGTGTTGCAAATCACATGCGGGAACGTGTCTCGCTAGCGGTGTCAGCTCGTAACCGAGGCTGGTCACATGTGACCCCCTTCAGATGCGGCTTGGGTTTTTGGCTTGCTATAACTCCGATAATTATGTTACCAATGCGTCGAAGGACAAAGAGCTCTCGAGCGACGTGGATGGCTCGCGAGAGAGCCAGAACCAGAAGAGAGATGGTTGCTTGGTAGCCCAGCTGCCGGTAATCCTCCCTTTGTAATTTGCCTCCGTGACCCCTCGCCCCGCCGCCCTGCCAATGGCGTCGATTCGACGTTGCTTCTTTTTCCAAAAAAAAAAAAAAGAAAAAAAAGTAGAACACTCGCTTCGACACATGTGAGACACTTTTGTTTTCTATCTCTATTTACTTGTTCAATTATCGGAACTTGCATCGAGATCTAGATACAAGAAAAATGAGCAGGTGCTCTGTGCAAACATTGCAACTGTAGTCAGTTTGGTAAATTTTTAATTATTCGCGATGGAAGTATTATGTACAGAAGTTTTGTCAATATTTATATTATAATATTTATATATATTTATATGTATTTATATTTATATTTATATTATAATATTTGTATATATTTATATATATTTATATTTATATTTATTTTATAATATTTATATGTATTTATATATATTTATATTTTTATTTATTTTATAATATTTTATAATATGTATTTACATATATTTATATTATAATATTTATATATATTTATATATATTTATATTTATATTATAATATTTATATATATCTATATATATTTATATTCGTATTTATATTATAATATTTATATATATTTATATTTGTATTTATATTATAATATTTATATATATTTATATATATTTATATATATTATAATATTTATATATAGAAGTATATATTTATATTATATATAGAAGTGTCATCACTTTAATTTCGACAAAATTTAAAGAGCTAAAAGCACGAGAGCTTCACACGCTAGAATGCAAAATACACACACACACACACACACATACACACTCTCTGTCGCTCAAATATTTAAAAAAATAAAATAAAAAACAGCAGGGGGGGGGGGGAACAGAGCGGTGGTTGCTACGCCACTGGCAGGCGGTTGATGTCACCATGGCCGTGCCCTCTGGATAATAGAGTCCGCGACTTTAATGGACTCGCTAATCCTCTTCCCTGTTTGTCGGTGAGTCCATCCGTAGGGGGGAAGACGCATTCAAGGCACGCACGGAGGTAAAAATCGGGGCAGGGTGGTGTGACTGCGGTACGGGCGCAGTTTAGGGCCATTTTCTCTCTCTCTCTTTCTCTCTCTCTCTGTCGGAGAGACTGCAACGTGTGGGTTGTTGTTCGCGCGGACAAGGGGGTTGCCTGTCACGTCACGGAACGCTGGAAACCCGCCCCTTGTGCGGATCCATCGGTGCGATGATACCTTGATTTCTCGAGTGACGAATTGAGTGCGCTTAATGCGAACCGGCGCGTTTAACGATGTAATTTGACGTAATACCGTACCACCTTTGAACCCCCTTCGTTCGCGCTTCGTTAGATCCAGTTCATATTCAGGATGATAAACTGTTCCACGGTTAACCGTGAAATATATGCTATTTTTTTTTTTTTTTTTTTTTTTTTGTTGAGATGAAGCTTTGATTATTATTCATACGAAAGCATTTTCATTAATATGCGCTGAACATTTAAGTATGCCGTAATTTTCTATGACCCAGTGAGTAATAAACTTGGCCTGATTTTAAATGGCTCGAAGCCACTATTTTCTAAATGTATGTGTTCATTTTATTCTAGGTAAGTGAAGACACTTTTCTTCTTGAAAATGCTATAAATTGTCGTGATATGAAAAATGTTTTTCCAAACAGAATCCACAGTGGATTTTGAAGATTGCAGCTTCCTCTTTATAAAGAAATTTTGATGTATGATCTTCCTTTGCCATTTGCCATTTTATTGAACTCTAAATACTGAAGCAATGAAAATTCAAGAAATCATAATAAATATTTTCTTATATTTGTCTTTGCTTGATACTCAAAATTCAATAAATTGGCGAAAAAAGTAGCAAATTTTGTAAAGGAGAGAAAATCTACAAATCTATAAATCCATTTAATGATTCAGTCATCAAAAAAATTTACAATGTTTTTACCTGCTATGACAGCATTTTCCAGAAGAAAGGTGACTTCATTTTGTCATTTGTTGCATAGTGTAAAAACATCTCAGAACGAAATGAACGACGCGTTTTGAAAATAAGGACTTCAAGCTTCAAGATGAGCCCAACTTTATTATGTACAATTTCATTTTACAAAATTATACAACTTAGTGTGTCTGAATACTAACAGGAGATGTCGTGTATGTAACAATAATCTTTGATCATCGAATTACAACTATAAATCTCTCAAATCACTAGACATTAATTTACAGATAAGATGAAGACGAGAGCAAAATGTTCTCGCCTGCGTTAATAAAAGTTCACTGAAATGTGACTAAAAAAAAAATCATCGAATCCTGCTCAAAGAGTCAACCAATTCTACCGAAATTTCATTTTCAAACTTTAGCCAAAAAAAAAAAAAAAAAAAAAAAAGAAAATATACATAACTTAATACTTCCAGACGAGAACAAAACCAAACTATCTCTATCTCTGACTGAACAGTTCTCCCCCCCCCCCCCCACATAGGCATGGCGATTCTACAGCTACTTTTCAAGAGCACGTTATCCTTTCTGAGGGATCGCGTTGCTCAGACTGTTTTGGTACTGCAACAATTGCTGAATGTGAGCTGGCAGTTTCGACGAACGCTGCAACTGCGGCACTGGGTTGTAGTTCTGCTGTGGGAGAGGACGATACGGCAGTTGCTGCTGATATTGAGGCTGTTGCTGAGGCAGAGGACGATACTGCGGCTGCTGCTGGGGAAGAGGACGATACTGCGGCTGCTGCGGTAGAATCGGTTTCTTGTACTGAGCCTGGCCGGCTGCCGCGATGTTTCTGTAATCCGGTTGCTGGACGCCGGACGCGAACGTGACTTGCGGCCGGTATTGCTGAGCCTGGGTTTGCGATAGTTGCTGAGGCTGGACAGGCTGAGACGGGCCTAGCTTTGGGATCGGTTGCGGCGGAACTGGCACCAACGGCGGACGAAACTGTTGCGCCTGTATCAGTTGCTGGATCTGAGGCGGCGCCTGGTTCACCGTACGGAGGTGACCGCTTTGCCTTCTCTCGCGAACGTGATCTGAAAGTTCTGTCGATTACGACGATGATCCGAGAAGAGGACGAAATGTACAGGAGATGGTTAAAAATTTAAATAAATTTGAAACTTAATTTGAACAAATTTCGGTAAACATGCGTGAAAGCGATGGAAACTTTCTGTAAATGGTTCTATAATAAATTTTCTAAATGGCGATATGAAATTGGTAAAAAGATGTAGCTACGAACGTGTACGCGTACAGTTATGAATTAAAAACTGAAAGTGAGAATGAAAAATGGTAGAAATGGTAATAACAAATGAATTAAAAACTGAAAGTGGGAATGAAAAATGTTTGTAAATGGTAATAATAAATGAATTAGAAACTGAAATTGAGAATGAAAAAATGGTAACAATAAATGAATTAAAAACTCAAGGTGAGAATGAAAAATGTTTGTAAATGGTATAAATGGTAATAACAAATGAATTAGAAACTGAAATTGAGAATGAAGAAATGGTAATAATAAATAAATTAAAAACTGAAAGTGAGAATGAAGAAATGGTAATAACAAATGAATTAAAAACTGAAAGTGGGAATGAAGAATGTTTGTAAATGGTATAAATAGCAATAATAAATGAATTGAGAATGAAAAACAGTAATAATAAATGAATTAGAAACTGAAATTGGGAATGAAAAATGGTAACAATAAATTAAAAACTGAAAGTGAGTATGAGAAACGTTTACAAATGTTTAAATGTATAAATGGTAATAATTTACCAATGGCTGCATGTTGGAATTCTTGTCCCAAAAGATCACCGGACACTACGTCAGTAGCATAAATGGCCGCCAATATTAAAACCTAGAAATCCACAACACTGATTTGTAATAACAGCTCTGATTAACGCTTAATTAATTATCGTTTCATACGCGTTTTTCTACATTTCGCGTGTCTTTGGATTTCTAATCGGTATCAAACTTTCTACAGTTCGCTGTTTAACGTGAGTTGTGAGACGGAACCGTAAAAATTCACCATTGTATCGAACAACAAAAACTTGAACTCTCTAACTTGACCTATTTCGCGCGGCAGGTAGGCGAACGTATCGATAGTAAAGTAAGGAGTTGCTGTACCATAAACGAGGATTAAAAGCAAAAATCGGTTCACGATCGAGAAAGCTAATGCAATTTGCCGATCTCTCGCGATGCATTGCATCGTTGCACACGACGCGTGCATTCTTATGCATACTTAGGTAGATAGTTGAAACATAAGTACGAGTGAATTCTCAGAGAAGGGAAAGGATGAAAGCAGTTCGACTTCGATCGAACGCTGTGTAGCGGTACGATTTCTCGCTTGTGGCGATGAATTTTTATGTGAAATAAGGTTGATTTTCAATAAGAGCAACTACGTTCGATTAAATTACATGTATAATTCTTTTATTTATTTCTATCATATTTATACTGTAAATTTATTTCTTTAGAGCTAGGAGATTCACAAGATGAATTAAATTGAAATTTAAATTGAAATTTATCAATTTTCTGTCAACATTGTCGTTAGTTACATGTTCAAAATTTGAGAGTTTATATTTAATCTTATTCACACGATACTTAAAACTTATCGTTGGACAAAGACACGGGGAAGTAACAAATTTGTCAAATCAAGATTATCTCCTCTGTACAGATATATTGCGAATTAACTTCCACTATGATGTCACAGAATCAGATAACTCGACTCTTGTTAATCCTCCACTTCGTTCAGATACAATGCATCCTCGCGTTAAATTGCAAAATAGGAGAAACGTTCACATCGTTCGTCATCCATCTAGATCGAGGCAAAACGAAAATTCGCACACAACGTGATAAATCATGTTGAGGAAGTGGAAGAACGACGAGGATAAGAGAAAGATCGAAGCTCAAAATTTTCGCTGAAAATCCATCTTCGGCAATGAAAAAAAAAAAAAAAGAAAAGAAAAAAAAAGAAGAGAAGCAACGTTTCATAAAGGACAAAATTGAGGAGAGGTGTGAAACGAAAATTCGCCGGAAAGTAGAAACGAAAGTGTAGAGAAGTCTGTTGCTGTACTCACGTGGAACTTCATGGCGAAGGTATAGGTGATTTCGGGATAAGAGCCGAGCGAAACTGGCGGCGGTGTCGCGACGCACTTCTATATGGGCGAGCGTTTCCAGGGTAAATGGTCCGGCCAACCACTAACTTTCACGGTTGGTCGGTTTCGACTGAATCTCTTTTTCTTTTTTTTCCCTCTTTTCTATCTACGTCGTGCAGGTTCCCCGCCCGTTCGTCACGTAACAAACGCGCCCCGTACGTACACGCACGGCGTGCTACGTTTCCACGTCCTTACCCAGGAAGTAAAGTGTACCAGAAAACTCGAGACTATTCACCGTTTCGATTCAATTTCGAAATTGTACCTCGCTTAACGACGATTCGAAACGGATCGTTCTCCAGTTGGTCAAGGACCACTGGGTCCTTCGTTGGAGTTATTAACGAGAGATAAGCTGTTTCTTACTGGGTCACGGTGGGAGTCAAAGTCACTGGAAATTCCAAAACGAAGGAGTCGAAGAGATTCTTTCAATTTCGCTGCTTAAGAGATTAATGTTTAATTTTTTCTTTTTTTTTTTTTTTTTAAATGAAAACGATCGTCTAGAACAGGTGGTCTTGTTTGGCAATTAGAACTATCTAGAAAATGGTCGAAATGATCAATTTATAATTTATATATATATATAATTTATAATATATATATATATATATATAATTTTAGAAATTTTATAGATATAATAATGAATTAGATATTGTATAGATATATAGTATAGAATATAGAAGAATATAAATATATAGTACAGAATATAAACATTATATAGATATGTAGTACAGATGTAAAACAGTGTATTTTTAGAAATTCGAATGATTCTTTCGTAAAATACAGGCTTGTATTTTCTATTTTTTCTACTTTAGTGTCTCTCGCGGAAATTTTATGCTTCAATAGATGAGATCTTTCAACTTATTGTAATTAAAGAAAAAGCAAAGTGAATTTGGTAATATACAATAAAAATAACGGTAGGTTAAAGAAAGTTGCCTTTGTAAATAAATGTTCGTAACTTTCCTAGTAGACATTTCGTAGAACATTAATTTAAATAGTTGACAATTTAATTAAATACTGAAACATTGACGTTTTTTATTTGAAAAAGCAACGTTTCACGCATCAGTCTAATATTCTGGCGCGGATACATATTTACTTATTGACAACATTCTTCTGCAAAAATAAAATCTACGGTTCGACAAGGTTCTAAGTCACAGGTCCCTTAGATGAACTTTCCCTGCAAAGAAAAAAAAAAAATATATATATATATATATATATTCGTAACGCTGTTAGAAAACCAGCAAAACTGCTTTTCCTGAGCGCGTATTATATCAGAGGTTAATTCGGAGTTGCGTGAAAGTCGTTCGCTCGGCTTTTCCCTTTGAACGCGACCGCAGTGTAGAATTTACTTGGAATTCATTTAGACGACGATAGTTTAACCGTGCGTTTAAATGGAAGAACGGTAGACAAAATTCCTTCGACAGAAGAATCAAGAACTTCCGTCAAATGCAATGATCTTAAATGTTAAAATCAAACAGAATCCATTTCTGTTTCATTTTCATTTCTTTTTTTTTTTTTTTTTTGGATTGCCATTGCATTTTTTCCAGCCGAAAATCGACATAAATATGAAATGGCAAATAAACAAAGGCACGTAGAAGGTGAAACGCGTATTTCTAGTCACGTAACGGTATAGTTAACCGATTGCAGGAAGCATATGCATCGGTCACTTCCGTATTCCTAAGTCGGCCGCATTAATATCTCGCGCAAAGTCCACCGTTTTCTATCGAGACACTTTTGTATTCGATAAAAACGAGGCACGATTTAATCGATGACTGAACAACCTGCTCGCGAAATCAACTGACCTTAATGCATTTCCACGTTCTCCGTTTTTCTCGCGATAAAATACGCGATAAATGCAAAATATTCGCTAATTAGTCGACAATTGGTATTTTGTGAATCACGTCAGCTTTATTTTTATAAAATTTAAAATTAAAACAATTGATAAAAAATAGTTTTAACAAAGGTGGTTGAAATAAACTATTAAAAATATATAAAATATATATATAATATACATAAATGTCGCGGTAAAATATATATAAATAAATATATATATATAAAAATAATTATTTTAACAAAGGCGTTAAAATAAACTATTCTGAACTATTAAGTCGCAAACGAGAATCAGTTTAACTGGATTGCACGTTCGGAGAAAAAGCTTCGAGTGAAAGTGCAAGATTCATGCGTATGCAAATGCTAAATATGTGAAACTTCACGCAATATTTAGCGAAACATAATTTCTTTAATAAAGTGACTGATCATCATCGTTTCTGTCTCGTAAGCTCTTCGTTCACAATGGAGCATGATGGACCACTCACGTCAATCAAAATAATTAAAACACGTCCGATTGAGAAATGTTTTTTTTATTAGAAAACATTGTAATATAAAAACAGACGAGCTTATTGAATAATGCTCGATTATTGCTTATCGAAGAAACGAGACAATAAATCCTTATAGATATCGACAGTATGACGGCCTGCTTTCGTTCTTTCTTCTTTCACCGGGAGTCGTACATTACCGTATGTAGAAACTCACGGGGAAATCGAAATGACTTCCGTTACTATAATTACTATAATTACTTCTCCTAGATTTTGATGGATTATCGTCGACACGTTTGAACGAAAGAGAAACGTCGAACGTCTTGGGATATACACATGCATTCGATTTCTATAGGTGAAGTTGAAATTCGTCTAATTGACGTATAGATGAAAAGTAAATACAAGTATAAAATATTTATTAAAATACAAAATGGGAAACAGTGTCGTGAAATAAATATTGCTTTGAGTATTGTAAATTGTCGAAGCGAGCGCAGAGCTCTTCCTTCGTTAAAATGTTCGTCGCTTCTAGTTTCAAATACAAAATTTGAATGAAGGTGTTGGTATACTGCAATTCTTTTTTGAAACTACGTTGTTAAACGTAACTTCTCCCAACGAAATAATTCATTTGACATGCTTCGTGATTTTCAAATGTTTCCTCGTATTACGAAACAATCGCAGCGAGAGCCCTGATTTCTCCGTAATTCCATATCACGTGGAAACAAATTTCACAAAAATATTGTCGCGGTATACTTTTCCTTACAGTGTGGGAAAATTAATGATTGGAAAATTCGGTTTTCTTCTTTTTTCATTTTCTAGAACAACTAGATACTACTTTAGAATTATTGTTACAACATCAATGAACAAAGCAGTGATTTTCATTCGTTCATCAGAAATTTAATAAATATCTAACACATTGACTGCGATTATTTCGTAAATAATTTGATAAATAATTAATGTCTACGAGATATTACATTGCAATAAAGTACAATGAAAGCGTATTTCTCGCTTCGTAACAATATCTACTCATTTATATTCAATTTTTTAATTTTTCGTCAACGACATTCATCCCCTTTTAATTGTTCTAAAATATTTATATGTTGAACTTCAACGAAACAAGCAGACACAACTCTATCTTTCCAACTGCAACAGAAATCTAGAATTTCCCCAAAGTGCGAAACGTGGGAACGCCGTGATCGATCCGACTAATCGAAAACGAAGAAAACCGAGACAATGACCAAATAAAAAAAAATAAATAAATAAATACGAAGAATTCGAGAAACGAATGACAAAGATTCGATAATCCTCAATATTGATTTTCGGTGACTGGACGAACCCCTTGCTCCCCATATTGAGCTTGATACTGCGGATATTGCAAATACTGTGACTGCGGCGCGTACGTCTGGCTGTATCCGCTCGGTTGACCTTGGTACTCATCGACTGATTGAATTTGGCTCTGATATTGATTTTGGTACTGATTCTGCTCTCTGTACTGTCTCTGTCCCTGATATTGATTCTGACCTTGGTACTGAACTTGCGGCGGGGCAGCTGGCTGCGCTGGCTGGGGCACGTACGTCTTGTCGAACTTATACTCGACTTGATTGGCGATGATGTTGTAGGGGATTTGTGCCTGGAACTGCAATATACTTCGTATGGAATTAGGAATATTGGTCGAGTACCGTGGCACCGGTTCCGCTGGCAACGATTGCGGTCGTAGCTGTCGTTGAGGTTGATGAGCAGCTTGTCTTCTTTGTCTGGGACGCGATGGTCCATCTTGCGGTGGGCCTCGTATTTGCTTCGGAGCTGGTGCAACCGCTGGCAGTACCGTGTGTACGGTGGGAGATGCTGGTTGCTGTCTAAGGAGATCTTCGTAGTGTCTACGAACCTGTTCCATCTGCATTTGGACGGCTGGCTCCGGATTAAACCTAAAAGTTAATTATTTGTTAATTATTTTATCAAAGGTGATATCGACTACTTGATCAATTAGCACTGGTTCGGTACTCAAGTACTGATGAGTGAGTGAAGAGTCTTTATAGAAAGTATAATATTATATAAAAATATTATATCGATGTAATATTGTTATCATACTACATGTTATATAGCATATTCTATTGATATTATACTACATATTGTATAACGTATATTATATTGATTATACTACATGTTATATAACATATTATATTGATATTGTACTACACATTGTATAACGTATATTATATTGATTATACTACATATTATATAACATATATTATACTGATATTGTACTATTACATTAGGGGTAATGTCGTTTCTTGGTACTGTACAAAGTTTTATTTTATTTAAATTATATTTTTTTAATTATTGCCACCAGATGACAATGTTTGTTAAATTTGAAGAAAAGCGACATTACTTAAGGGTACCTCTAATATAATATAAATAAAGTAATATAATACAAGAGTCTTTAAATATCAACTTCAGTAAATACATTCTACAAAATGGAAATGATGTACTAAAAAACCGTATTTTTGCTTTCTCGTATATACAAGCTCTAGAAACAGACATTATCGTCTATTGTGTTCTGTTTTATTAATTTAAATAAATAGTAACTTCTATCTTCCTTCCGACAAATTTTGACGAGTAAACTTGAGATTACTTGTATACTTAAAAAGCAAAAATATGTTTTCTCAATACATCATTTTCAAGTGGAATTTATATACTTAAGACTCTTATATTATATTATATTTCAAACGTACGTACATAATTATAACAATGACCGAGAATTTGATGTTACTTACAACTAACTTACATTCGTTTCTAACTTTGTCACACAAATTCTCTTTTTTCTCAGGCACTCACAGAATTTTCCACAAGGACTCCTCGAGTATAGGAAACACATGAAAATAACATTTCATTCACCTGTACTGTTCGGGGATCGAGTTGATGTACGGAGTTTGAGCCTGGTACTTTAACAATTGTTGAAGATGAGGCGGCAAATTTGGGTTGTAGTTAATTGGAGGATCGGCCGATGGTTGCGAAATTCTACGGGGTTGCTGTCGCTGTACAGGAGCGGCGCCCTGTCTATACTGTGACGTTTGTCGTCTGTGCCTTGGCGAACCACGAGATTTCCCTCGATAATTTGGTCGCCGTAGTTCCGGCGCTGGTTCTTCTCGCGGCTCCGGCTCGTACTGAGGCTCGTACTCAGGTTCATACCGAGGTTGTTGATTTCCCTGCGACGCTATCAAATTTTCATACCTGCAAAGAACATTTATTTGACACTACGTACGTGATCACTTTCTCCTGTGTCGTTGATTTTTCTCACGAGTCCTTTTATTTTGTTTTCAATTCAAGCTTCGAAAGTTATAATAATTATAATTATAATAATAGTGTCTTAACAGAATCATTATAATTATAATTATAGTGTCTTAACAGAATCAAGTTATAATTATAATAGTGTCTTAACAGAATCAAGTTATAATAATTATAATTATAATAATAGTGTCTTAACAGAATCAAGTTATAATAATTATAATTATAATAATAGTGTCTTAACAGAATCATTATAATTATAATAATAGTATCTTAACAGAATCAAGTTATAATAATTATAATTATAATAATAGTGTCTTAACAGAATCATTATAATTATAATAATAGTGTCTTAACAGAATCATTATAATTATAATAATAGTATCTTAACAGAATCAAGTTATAATAATTATAATTATAATAATAGTGTCTTAACAGAATCATTATAATTATAATAATAGTGTCTTAACAGAATCATTATAATTATAATAATAGTATCTTAACAGAATCAAGTTATAATAATTATAATTATAATAATAGTAAAATAATGCTAAATTCTGTTAAGACACTATTATTATAATTATAATTATTATTATTATATTATTATAATATTATTATTACTATATTATTATATTATTATTATTAATATTATTATTATTATTATTATTATTACTATTATATTATTATGTAGTCAACCCTCCTATAACACCGTTTGTTAATTTCGTGTTGTATGAAAACCCAACAGAAAAAATTCATTATGTTTTTAAGTTTATCAAGTTATCAGAATATCATGTAATAGGGCAGCCATAATTTTTTCACTGTTATATAGAAACCGGGTTTTCAGAATGCCATGTCATAAGAGGGTCGACTGTATTATATCATTGCTGTATTATATCATTGTTATATTAAGACACTGTTACGTCACATTATTGCGTAATCACATACAAGACATTTTCCACGCCCATTACATCATTTAACGGCCGATAGTATTTTATGTAATAGTACTTAATATTAATTCGTGGCACCAGTTCTTCCGAAATAAATAAACGCAAAGAACAAGTTGACAAGTTTCGAAGTGCATTCATTACCTGTACGGTTCAGGAACGATGTTCACGTATGGCAGCTGCGCTTGCAGTTGAAGAAGGTGCTGGATGTGCGAGGGTGCATTTTCCAAAGGCTTGGATTGTTGAACCGGCTCGGGTGGCGGTGGTGGTCGCCTTGACTTTTGTCGAGACGATGCTCTTGGAACGTTTACGACCGAGGTTTCCGTGTATCGCACTTCCTGCTGCTGCGCCGTCGGCTGTGGTCGACGATCGTACGACCTCCAGTTCACCCTCAGTCCTTCCAAACAGAATTTAATTCTTGAACTGTGCCAGAATTTAGTTTTTGAACTATGTCAGATAATTTTCCACTCCGTGGCAAATGTCTGGATCTAAAGGTACATTGAAGAGTATAGCTGTACCAATGACAATGAGAAAATTGTCAATGATTTTGTAAAAATTATGCGGTACAACTTTATAAAAAAAAGATTACATATCGTTAGATTAGTTTGTTTTTTTTTCGACATATAACACGGTGATAATTTTGCTCTCGAAAATTGTGAAAACTTAAATGCCTCTTAAGACATTAAAGAAATCTTTCATGATCTTGTAGATTGAAGTTTCCTCTTCACAATGATCCCTTAAAACCCGCTGTACGATTTTTCTTCAATATTTTATTGAACTCAAATGTGAAACGCAAGGATTTCTTGAATTTCTGTCGTTTAACTCGACGTTCAATAAAATGGTTAAGAAAAGAAATTGTACAAGTTTTGAGAGGTAGAAGAGTAAACTTTGATTTTTAAAATGGTAGTAGATTTGGTTACGAGAAAGAAATGTTGACGCTTTTGCACACATTTGTATTTTTACAATTTTCCAAAGAATATCATCAATGATACAGAGAAAAACGAATCCACAGCTGCCAAAGTAGAAGCTTCACGCTAATTTTAAAACGAGACCAAGTAAGATCGTTATACGATCTTCTTTTACAAAGTTATCTAACTTGAAGTTATCGACAAATTTTCATGCTCTTCACTGTATGTTCAGAAAAGACTTTAATTATTTAAATGACGACTCGAAATGATCACTCACCACTGGGATCGTTATATTGAAGAGATTTCGCAGGGCCTAAGTTACTATCGTAGGAACCTTGAACAATCGACTGACTGTGTCCGTCCGTTGATCCTTGGATATTATACGATCCTGCACTAGGTCTCTGCAGGTATCTTTCCGCTGGTCCGCGAGTGGCACCATGAATTTGGAAATTAGAATGGCCGTCGCTGGCACCTTGTATCTGCGCGCTACCATCCGTTGCACCCGTGATACTGAAGCCACTGTCGTCCGGTTCTGCGAAGGAAAACGACCGTGTGAAGTTCCGAGATCATTTCAACAAATAATGTCGGATAAATAAATTATTATTATTATAATTATTATATTATATTAAATATTAAATTTATTATCAGCTGAAGATGAAGGAATAAAGAGCAAAAGTATATTGTTGCTATTATTAGTATTATTATATTTAGTTATTATATATATTATAATTATTATATTATATTAAATATTAAATTTACTATTAGCTGAAGATGAAGGAATAAATTGTGTAAAGAACAGAAGTATATTATTGCTATTATTAGTATTATTATATTTAGTTATTATATATATTATAATTATTATATTATATTAAATATTAAATTTATTATCAGCTGAAGATGAAGGAATAAAGAGCAAAAGTATATTGTTGCTATTATTAGTATTATTATATTTAGTTATTATATATATTATAATTATTATATTATATTAAATATTAAATTTACTATTAGCTGAAGATGAAGGAATAAATTGTGTAAAGAACAAAAGTATATTATTGCTATTATTAGTATTATTATATTTAGTTATTATATATATTATAATTATTATATTGTATTAAATATTAAATTTACTATCAGCTGAAGATAAAAAAATAAATTACGTAGAAAGCAAAAGTATATTATTGCTATTACTATTATATTATATTCTAATTATTTAATTATTATATATATTCTAATTATTATATTATATTAATAAATATTAAATTCTAATAATTCTTTAATATTTATAATATAATAATTCTAATTATTATAGTATATTATAAATATTAAATTTGTATCAGCCGAAGAGATGGAGGAATAAATTACATAAAGAACAAATGTAAGTATCGGTGTCTTATCAACTAATTACCATTTTGATCTGTGTACTCGATTCCTTTCCCTTCCTCTATTCGCAAGCCCTGGGCAACTCGGTTCCCGTCACTGGGCCCCTGTATCGAGAATTGTGCCAAGCACGCTGGGATTGTTATTAACGACAGAACCTACGGGAAATCAGAAGCAAAAGGAAGTTCGATAAATCGCCGGAAAGAAGAAGATCTTGCAGCGAGATTTGCAAAGTACCATGTAAATTACAGTCTCAGTCTGAATTTTCAAAAAATTTTTCAAACGTCTTTATACGTGACAATTTAGAATACTTTTTGGAAAGAAAGAAGTGTCTTCACTTTGCATTTTGAAAGTAGCTTTAATAGGTTTTAATAGGTTTAAAGTAAATAATTAAAATTTGAAATAAATTTACTGTCGTACGATTGCTTTTTATGAAAGTAAAGCAGTTTGCGAATATTGACAGGTGTCGCATATCGTAGATTAGAAATTATTCGTGTGATATCCTTGACAGTGAACCTCAGAAGGTATTCTCATTGAATCACGCGCGCGCGTAATATTAATAAAAGCAAGAATATTAAGACACAATTGCGCAACGTAATGTCCTAATGATGGTATTATCTAATACGGTAGAATTCAGTGACACGCACTGACCACGATTACGCACCGGTTCCTCCAGTCTATGCATTTATATGGAATTGCATTTCGAGAGCGGAGGAACGCAGTAGCTGCGAGGGAAAGTGGTAACTTGAAGACCAGATTCTTCGTGATCGAAGCAAAGTTAGTAACAACATCCTTCAAGATTGAAACATTTCTCAAGCAGCAAGCTGTTAATTTTTGTTGAAATTGTACAAACAGAGTGTGCCAAATTTTAAATGTCAAAACTTGTCAAGAGTGTGTAGAAAATCGATAAACTAAGAAAAAAAGAGTCCTTTAGAGATTTGCTTCCATTTCAGAGAAAATCAAGGAACAAATTTTCATTTTCTCTGGCTCCATTCGAAATAATAACATGATTTGCATTGCTCCGAAAGGCTAGCATTTTGAACATTATAGAATCGCGAATAGATGACACAGATGATACTAAATCTGAATGATAAAATGGACAATAACATGAATAAATAAATAAATGGAAGAACGAGAACTGTTTTATAACTTTTCTCAGTGATTTCCTTCAAAATCTGTAAAGAATTCTTTCTCCTGGTTCATTATTCCCCAAGCTTTGACATTTAAATTTGAGACACCGTGTATTTTGTTTTACGTTTCTATATACATTTTTGAATATCCATAACCGCTGAACAAGATTGGCACGTTCGTTAGAGCCGATCAAGTCAATTAAAAAACGAGTGAGAACAAAATTAATCAATTACACGTTGAATGATGCATCTGCTTCCTCGGCATTTGCAATGATATTTTGCATTTGGAAACATATATGTGTACATTATGTCATTTGTTACGTCGAGAGAGAAATCGACGTGTAACAGTAACTTCAATTGGAGAGAAAACCCTTCCCTGTTTATCTTCCTAAATAAACAGAAAGGAAGTTCGGTAAATTCTGCGTGCGACTAAGGAAGTAGTGAGTCAATCAATTTTCATTAGAACTTCCGGAGAAATTACCTTTCTTGGAAAGAAGAGAACCTTTGTCAGAATTTTCAGAAACAGTTTTTCGTAGTGAAAAGATCTCTGGAGTAACTTGCGCTCAAAAGAACTGGCAAGATTGCTCGAAAATTGATGCAATCGGCGTTTAAATTTTTCAGAGAAACAACGAACGAATTTCGTTGATTAGTATTATTATTAATTCGGTTCGATCGGATCTCGACGAAAGTTTCACGTGTCTTCGACTAGCAGCAACTATAGTTTCCGTGATCGAGAACAGGTGACGAGTTGCTACCGCCTTTCCAGTCGCTCGAGAAAAAGGAACGAAATCTATTTGGAAACCGGGAGTGAAGCGAACGAGTATCGAACACGCCATTGCAAGACATTATACGCTCGCCGGTAGAAAGTGAAATATAAATGAACGGACAGGACACCACGCCTGCCTTCATTATTCGTGAAAAGAAAAAAGGATCTGCGCTGCGAGTTCAACGGCTAGACTTTCAGGCTCTTGTCAAAAAATCGAATACATTAAATATCCCAAGATCGATTCGTTTTGTTCGTTTACATCGTCTACGTCGAGTTTCTAAAATTTCAATAGATATAAAAGAATATTAGCTCGCAGAAACTTATGCCATCCTGGAAGCCATTAAATATGCATACTCAAATAACGAAGATTCAGATCGTCATATACACCGACTCCATGAGCGTTACAAAATTCCAAATGAAATCATATGATCAAGAAAACTAAATAATATCCACCATCCAAGAATTAAACCACAACCAACCTAACACAAACGCCACAGTCATCTGGATACCAGTTCATCAAGGAATAGAAGGAAATGGAAAAGTCGACGCAGCAGCGAAAGAAGCCACAGTTCCCTCACTTACTAACAATCGCAAACATCTTCCAATCCCCTGCGACGACCAAATAATCCATTGCAAAAAAAGTAGCAAAAAATGAATGGAACAATACATGGAAAACAACTAAAAGCATCCAACTACACAAAAGTATCCAAGACTTTCACCCAGCAAACACCAAACTTTAACAACAGGAAAGAAGGAATAATTATCACACGCCTAAGAACCGGTCAAACCAAGCTGACGCATGAACACAAAATCAAAAAAACTACGCCACCTATCTGCACTCATTGCAATAACCATCCATTAACAATAACTCACCTACTGCACGAATGCCACACCGCAGAATCCCAAAGACAGAAATACGGAATCAAACTGATTTCTCAAAATGGCATACAAAGAGTATTAAAATATCTCAAAAAACATAAACTACTACACACATATTTAATGGCACCGTGGTCGCTAATGACCTCGCTGTCGATGCGACATTAAAGAAAAATAGAAGAAGAAGAAAAGAATATTAGATGTAAGGTCACAGATTATTATCTTTTCTTGTTGAATTATTTTATTAGTAATTATTCTTATTTGATTACCTTGGATATGAGGTCACAGATTATTATTTCTTCTCATTTATGTTATTATTATTTCTTCTCTATTATAATGTATGACAAGGCGACGAATTTTGAAAACGTAGCAACGTCGATGAAGGAATCATCTTCAGAAAAATATCTGAAGTTATTGTCTAAAGATGAAACAATGCAAGTGTACAAAAATTTCAATTCTGCGTGTTTATGGCGAAAAGGAAGCAACGAGACGAACGTGAACGAGATATGCTATCATTAACCCTTTGGCTTTCATCATTCCAACTGTCATTTGAAGAAAATTAACTGGTACGAAGCTTGCAGGATCAATCTTCGTTAATTATAAAATTAGAAATTGTATGTTATTTAATACTTGTTTGGTTAGTGAAATACGTGACTTGGTAATTATTGTATGCCTTTCTAGACGCAGGTAATTTCAAATCGTAATCGAAAGTTCCATTTTTATCGTTATCTCATTTTTTTTTTTTTTTTTTATATTTCAGATAAATATCAAAGTAACTTGTACTTGTTTGCAATAAGCCGATAATTTAACTTTATCTTATTCAACACAATCGTATCACAAATGATGTTATGGTCACGTTTGGTTTATTGCACTCGTAAAACGGGAAAGCGTGACATTTCAAAGAGAAGCATAGACAAATAAATTGATGCAATTAGTATTTCTTCATTTTGTGAAATTATATATGGTGTACCTAATCATAGTGGCAATCCCGTAAGAAAATCACGTACACTTGTTACCAAATTTTGATCTTTAATACATTATTGCTCTAAACGTATAAAGATCGTATTTTTCTACTATTTACACGACAATTTTAAAATACAATACCATGCAATAGATAAAACTATACAATATAATACCTATAATAGATAAAATTATACAATATAATACCTATAATCAAGCATAATAATTTACATTCTATCAATTACCATTCCATTAAATTCTCTATCAAATATAATTTCATCTCGAAATAAATCCGCGACAAACGTGACAACTTTTCGTTCGAGTACAAGCAATTTGTATTCCATTTGATTGATCCACGACAAACTTAACCCAAACCTAACCCAAGTTACACGCACACTGATTTTTACCCTCGGACACAACGTTACTTCGAAGCGAAAGAGAGAATTGCAACGACGAGCAAGTAGATGTGAGAGTGGAGAGAAATGTTTACTTACGAGCAAATTCATGGCGAGAAAGCAAGCTGGGTTCGATGCGTTCAAGGGTGGAGTGTATTCTGAGGCGGCCGCGCGGTCACCGGAACAACTTTATAGGCGGCTACGTAAAAGGCGCCTTTCCACGATGGGGGATGTGACTTCTCTCTGCCACCTCCACCAGCCCCTCCGGTTTTATCGGCACCGCCGATTACCACGTTCCACGGGACTGGCTTTTCAATTCGCCTGCAACTTCTTTCCGCAAGTTCCCATTAGCTGCCAGCAGTCGCAGCTCGTTTATGCGAAACGAGACAAATTACTATGATAGATCTCTGGTGGATCATCTTAAATACGTTCAAAGTTTTAATTATTATATAGAAAGATACACAATGGGGAAGAGTTTTGTTTTCATTAAAAGTTTATTCTTAAATTATTAAAAGTTAAATTTATTAAAAGATAAATTATTAAAAGTTAAATTTATTAAAAGTTAGATTTATTAAAAGTTAAATTATTAAAAGTTAAATTTATTAAAAGTTAGATTTATTAAAAGTTAAATTACTAAAAGTTAAATTTACTAAAAGTTAAATTATTAACAGTTAAATTTATTAAAAGTTAAATTTATTAAAAGTTAAATTTACTAAAAGTTAAATTTACTAAAAGTTAAATTATTAAAAGTTAAATTATTAAAAGTTAAATTTACTAAATGTTAAATTTACTAAAAGTTAAATTTATTAAAAGTTAAATTTACTAAAAGTTAAATTTACTAAAAGTTAAATTTATTAAAAGTTAAATTTATAATTTAAATTATAGTTATCATACAATTATTAAAAGTATTTATATTTAAATTATAATTATTACATATTTATTAAAAGTATTTTACTATTAAATTATATATTTATTATATATATATAATAAATTGCGTAATTAATATACTTATTAAAAATAAAAGAACGAAGGTACTTTTATATTTTTGGAATAATGGAAGAAATTGTATTTTAAAATACATTATGCATAAGAATGTATCTAAGCACCTATTTCAATAATTTTTTCATTCAACTGCTGCATTCCCATCCAATGTTCGCTTAAGAAACTAATGAAATTCGCGGCAAGTTACTCGTGAAGGAGTACACGGCTGCGTAGTTGCATAGAGGCTGAAGCCATCGGTAAAGAATGCGATTCAAAGACACGTTTCCCAAGCAACGACCATTCAAAGGTTACTAGCAACGATCGCGTGCATCAATTAATACAACTGCGCACATTGAACTTAAGTAATCACTTGCAAACAAATCGCGCATCTCTTTTTCAAAATTACACGTCGCAGTTCGTTCACAAGGGAACAATTGTGTCTTAAAAATAACGATATCTTTGTTCAGAAAACTGAAAGAACATTCAAACGATATTTAGGATTAAATATGCAGCAGGATCTCATCTGAAGCAGTCCTTTTCATTTGAACAATTCGCTGAACAAATTGTTCGGAAAGTTGATACTCGCGAGAAACAGTTACGTAACGCACGACGGCAGACATTTATGGCTGCATTCGAGAATAAACTCCAACTTTAATTTTTAATGAATTTAACTTTTAATAATTTAACTTTTAATAAATTTAACTTTCAATAATTTAACTTTCAATAAATTTATCTTTTAATAAATCTAACTTTTAATAATTTAACTTTTAGTAAACTTAACTTAGTAAACTTAACTTAGTAAATTTAACTTTTAGTAAACTTAACTTAGTAAATTTAACTTTTAGTAAACTTAACTTAGTAAATTTAACTTTTAGTAAATTTACTACCAAAGTAATCTGAAACGTAGTCTAGCAATCATTTATCTTTCGACGTTTCAATTTGATATTCGGTGAAAATAATTAAATGTTCCAATTACGTTCCAATTAAGTGAATTTCAAGTTGAAACACTGTCGAAAAATGCGTGATCAAACAAGAGAAATAAAGAAAACATGGCGTCGTGGAACGAAGATGAAAGTCGTCGAGGAAGTTGTAGGACTCGCGGATTGACCAACTGAGCATGATCACTCCGAAATATTCCACGCCAAGGTGATTTTCTAGATTTCGAACAATGTCGAACTTGTTAAAGTGTATCATTCATATCGTATCATATCAAGGATTTTATTTTCACTCGTTCAATCTTGCCGGAAGAGAGTGGAAGGAACCGAGTGAAATACGAAAGGCAAGAAAGGAAACATAATGCAATCACGTTTCACGTATCGAGTCACGCTAGGCCCCGGTTCGAATTTCCGGTTCTCGTAAAATATTGAACGAGACCAAATCTCTCTTGCGAACGAGACAATTCAAAATTTCTATTAAGATTGAGATCTTGACTGAAACTGCGAGAGCAGAGCCATTTCTGATAATTGAATTAACATAGGGTGGAACTTTAGCTTTATAAGCATATTTTTAATTCTATAAGCAATTATTATTATTAATCATTACAATTATAAAATTATTAAAATGTAATTTTAAAGCAATGATAGCCTAGGTAATAAAGTATCATATGTTATAAATTTTATAATATATTATAAAACATATATATATTATAATATTATTAATATTATTATTATTATTTATATAATATTATTAATATTATTATTATTTATATAATATTATTAATATTTTATATATATTATAAAACGTTTATATTACACGTTTATGTGAATTGTAAAACATGTATTGTAAAATTACTTACAATGAATAAATATCTAACATATAATATATTATATTAATATATAATAACATATAATATATAATATTTTATATTACACGTAATAAATTTCATAAGAATGTTGTAATATTGTAATAAATTTTAGAAGAATATTTTAACTATTCTATTTAAATTAAAATTTTAATTTATTATTCTGACTTAAAGGAAAGCCCGTAACTTACAATTTGATTATAATTGAACAGATTATGCGAGAAAATATAGAAACTGGGAGAGCCATTTATTCATTATCGATTTTTATTGTTATTTACTATTCTTTCTTATCGTTAGACCGATGAACCCTAAGAGACGCTGATGAATTATGCATGCTTGCGTCCGTGGAAAGTTCGCGCAGCTCGCGGTGAACGCGTGCATAATCGCGAGAATCGGCTTACAATGCGTGAAGGCCACCGAAGGAGACCGATTTCTTGATCGTGTTCTTCCTCGTTCGAGGAAACACTGTCACTTTCGTCACGAAAACCAACAAGTTGAGTTGTCAATTTCAACTGAGTGTGAAATTATCAATGTACGAAAGAAAGCGCACGATCTCGTTGAGAATAAATCGACGATCCTCTGTTTGTTGAACATTGACGGATAGTAATTAGGCGGATTTTACCTCGTTCGCAAGTAGAGCGATACCAAGAGACCGGAAATTTCACAACGATGGGGGAAATGGTAATTGATACTTTCATTTATCCGACTCGTTTGGTAAATTAACAAACATCGACAGTGCACCCAGAAGATAAATTTCATTTTTTACTTGAACAGGTATTCCGTGATCTTCGATTATCAATTATCTATCTTTGATCCACCGTGTTCCTTATGCTTGAAAAAATAATCCCTTCCATATGATTTGCAACTAATGATGCAATTAATATCTTCCATCAGAAAATCTGCCTTCGATAATTGAGAGAAACTATTGACATTTCGCGTAATTTCACTGAATTCCAACTTGAGAAGGGGAAAAACTACCTAAAACCTACTAATTAACCACTTGCGCTGGCAACTGATTGCGGACCATAACGAGTGACCAAACCGTATAACAATAATTCTTCGCTTTCTTTTTGACCTTGTCGGTATGATATGACTAGATAGAAATTATCGAGAAGTAATTTAACATAAATTTATCATTTGCTTTGTCTGGGTTATACTTAAATATACTTGAAACTGAGGAAATATTGCAAATATTGGTACAAAAAAATTCTTGACGTGCGTGACACGTTATTCCAGCGCAAGGAGTTAACCACTTGCGGACCATAACGAGTGACCAAACCGTATACAATAATTCTTCGCTTTCTTTTTGAACTCGTCGATATGATATGACTAGATAGAAATTATCGAGAAGTAATTTAACAAATTTATCATTTGTTTTGTCTGGGTTATACTTAAATATACTTAAACCAGAGGAAATATTGCAATTTTGGGACAAAAAATTCTTGACGTGCGTGGCACGTTATTCCAGCGCAAGGAGTTAACCACTTGCGGACCATAACGAGTGACCAAACCGTATACAATAATTCCTCGCTTTCTTTTTGAACTCGTCGGTATGATATGACTAGATAGAAAAGTAATTTAACAAATTTATCATTTGTTTTGCCTGGGTTATACTTAAATATACTTAAAACAGAGGAAGTATTGCAATTTTGGGACAAAAAATTCTTGACGTGGCACGCCATTCCAACACAAGAGATTAAAGAGTACACGCAGATATTTCGTTAACAATTAGGTATCTTACTTCCGCAAGTCAGAAACCTGAAATCTATTTCCATCTGTTCTGCACGTCTCTCGTGTTAATCCGAGGACTATCGGTACGATAGATCGTGCGATCATCATCAGCAAAATTCGTTCGTTCTTACTTTCCATCTGTCGATGGAAGCGTTCGATACCGCGATATCGCTTTCTATATATAATCGTGGTTCGAGCACGCGTCTTTATTAGAAAGGTGGAAACCAACTCGAACTTTCTACGAATGAACAACAAAAAAAAAAAAAACAATTTGTTAATCGAATAACAACCCAGTAGAGAACATTTTTTCTCCAGCTTAACAGATCTTAATAGATTCGCCTCGGAAGCGGTTCTTTGCAGATCGATGATCATTTCGTAACCGCGCTCGAGTTACTTTTACGCCGGAAGTTCCGTTCACGCCACGTCCATTCCCTCGCGCGAGCACACACAGGAACGAAGAATGATTTCCACGCGTCGCCATGGGAAAATGTTTCAGCAGCTTGCTGCGATAGAACGAAGGACTTTAGAAAGTATCTATCGAATAAGATTGCTTTCTTTTATCACATTTCGAATTTTTCTGTCTGGATCACGTTTCTACGTTCAACTACGTTCAACTAAAGCGATATTATACTAATTGTAAGACAGGAAGCGTGCTGGAGATCCAAGGATTATTAAGTAAACACTCTTCACGTAAAAATAAAACTGCATTTACTACTTTACTTTTTTTTTTTATAAATAACTTTATTTAATGAAACATAATTTTCAAATTAGCACAATTAGTATTTAGCGTAATTATGTTGAAGTTGAAATGATTCTGACTTTTATGCTAGATTTACAATTGTGTTGCTCGTTACAGAAACATACAGCGAAACATTATTATCGGTACAAATTGATCGAGGATGATTCGAATCAACGATTGAATTTAATCGATATTCAAATCGTGAGATTGGCAAACTATCGTATCTAGTTCAGGCTGTAGAAAGAAATGTAGTCAGAATTGAAGTTAATGACGAGTTTGTGCAATTGAAGATTATCAGTATACAATATTCTGTTACAAATTTACTTAGAAGAAATCTAAATAATCTTTCTCCCTTTCTTGACACCTCGAAACGAAGAGATATATTATACATCAATCTCTAATCTGTTCTACGTGCTAATAAAATCGAAGGCTCGAGGAAATCAATTAGATTGCAATCTAATTTAGCGACACGTCTCGTCGAAACTGTACGCAGACAGAAAGAAAATTTTTGAATCTTCCAACCACATTAACATTTAATTTCACCTCATTGATAAAGAAAAAAAAGTCTAAACCAAGATACTAAAAATTCCAACGTATCTAACTCTGAAAATCTTTAAACCCCAAATTCTTCCATTCTTCTGTTGGTACATTATGAATGTCGACGAGCATAGCAACTTGTAAAGGTTGGTACGTGTGTCGTTTGAATGTTGTATATTGGGAGTTAGGGAAAACAGAAGAAGACGAACGAGGATTATAGTGCGTGCGTCCAAGGTGTGATGAATAAAAAGAAACACTATGTGCAGAGATAAAAAGTAATTCCTTAACTGACGCTTATCCGACCCTCCGTTTCCTCAAACTCCTCGATCTCGACCACATCTCTCAACCGAACAAAACCCCTTTCTAATTCCATATTTTAGCTGCCTCAGTGCCTCTGATTTTCTTCGACCGGTTTCGTCGCGTCGTTATCGGCCTCGTACTCGACATCGTCGTTGTTCACGTAGTAAACCTTGCTTCGATAGTGATACGGCCCCTTGGCATTCGCAGCCGGCAGCGGTTTCGGTATGAACAGCGACTTTGGCCTCGAGGAGATGCTGTTCGCGATGACCTCGTACGGCAACCGTGCCTGATACTGCAACAACTGTTGAATCTCCATCGGCATGCTCTTGTCGATGACCAGTTTCTGAGGGATTGGCGACGGTAGCCTCTCGACAGGCACCTCGATGCGTTCAACGACACTGTGTGGCGCCACCTGTTCCTCGTAATCGCTCTTGTACACTACCTTACCTTGCAAACCTCTGTCCGCGTAGTCTCTTCTGGACTTCTGTTGCTCTGGTTCCTCGTACTGGACAGCGTTCGCCGGCTGCTGACCGTACTGAGGAACCTGAACGTCAGACGGATAATAGGATGATGGATCAGGGTGGATGCTTGGCGGTTTGAACTCCTCCAGGATCACTTGTTTCACGCGAGCCGGAGCGTTCGAGTATCTGGTGTATTGCGTCGCTTCCACGGGTTGAGCCTCCGCCGGCTGAGCTCGAGCTTGCGGATAGACTTTGTACTGAAGATGGTTCGGTTCTGGCTGCTCCTCTATGGGCTGAGGTGATTCAACGACGACGGTCTTGTACTGTATCCGATTGGGAACGATCTGCTGAGGTTCTGCTTGGGTTTGTTGCTGCAGGTACGACGTGTGTTCCGACTGATCGGGTTCGACTTGAACCAGCTGAGACTGTAGCTGTTGCTGCTGCGACTGTTGTTGAGAGTGAGCTGGCTCTGGCTGCTGGGCGGGCTCGGGATTTTGCACGTGAGAGCGATATTGGTTCAGGGCCCCGAAGAATTTCCAGTCGACCTTCAAGCCTGCGAGATACGCGTGATATCATTGTAATGTCTCGCGTAGCCGACACCGGGTCACCGTTGACCCAGAACTTGAGCGTAACGAAGAAGCAAAATGTTTCAGAGACAGATATTTCTGAAAATATTGGCTGAAGCATTATGTAAAATTATTATTATAAAATATAATTATTAAATATTATTAAATATTAATTATTTTATAGTTATATAAAAATATTATTATAAAATGTAATTATTAAATATTATTAAATATTAATTATTTTATAATTATATAAAGTTATTATATAAAAATAATACAAACGTTATTAGATAACATCCTGTGTCAAAAAGTTAGGTGCAAAGCAAGTATGTTAAAAATTCAGCTATGAGTCAAAAGTGATCTGAATTTGAAATTATTTTATAATTATAATTGTATAAAATTATTATATAAAAATAATACAAACGTTATTAGATAACATCCTGTATCAAAAAATTAGGTGAAAAGCAAGTATGGCAAAAATTCAGCTATGAGTCAAAAGTGACCTGAATTTGAAATTATTTTATAATTATAATTGTATAAAATTATTATATAAAAATAATACAAACGTTATTAGATAACATCCTGTATCAAAAAATTAGGTGAAAAGCAAGTATGGCAAAAATTCAACTATATGGTCAAAAGTGACCTGAATTTGAAATTTTCCTCAAAACAATTGCGTAGTTATTACGACAATGCATAATTCCGTGTACAACTTTATCAAATCATTCCGCGTATCACGAAGTCAGTCTAATAACACCCAATTAAGTTTCTAGGAGCGAAAGACAATTGTCTAAATAAATCAATCTCAGAAAGAGAGAGAGAGAGATTTTTCCTTTTTTTTCAAGCTAGTCCCACTCACCATTTGGATCGTGATACTTAATCTGCGCTTGGGGTGCGCGAGCGGAACGCTGCGCGTTTTTCTCTTGCGCAACAGTGGTCGTCAAAACCAAGGCGATAAGGAGGATCTGCGAACAGATTGAGTTACGAATAAAATCAGTGGCTGCGAGAAGGAAGGAGCTGGGAATTCCTGTAGGGACGAGTGCAACGATGCTGTAACGAGTAACGAGATCCGCGTTAGAAAGTTAAAGTCTTCCTAGCTCGTTGTCTTTCTCCGTGGTCTGTTGGAAATCGGCGCCGTTGACGACATCACGTGCCCGCAGAATAGACTCTTAAATACGTGAAACGATCGGTGGACTGGCAAGAAACATTTTCTCGTTTCCTCGTCTCGTCTGCTTTTATCGACTCGAGGAATCGAACTCGTTTCACTTTCTTCTGCGGTCTGCATCCTTCGGAACTATCGTAAAATTAAGAGGCGGCAAACCATGCGGAACCTCGAGAAATTAAGGTCAATTGCATTTTTTCGTATTTCTTTCTTCGCAAATGAAAATGCTGAACGAAACTCTCTAATCAGTTGTGAGGCTGATCCAAAACACCTTGAATTATAACTAATAAATTAAAAAATTAAATAAAATATTTCAGTAAAAAGAAACCATAAAACGTTATTACCAAAATATTGTTCTAACAAATAATAAATTTATATATTCAGGTAAAAAAATATAAATAAATAATCTTCACGATATTTGTGACCGCGATTGTATTCTCATCAACTGTAGAACGTAACAAGCCAACTGTTATTTTTAATTAAATAATTAAAAATAAAAGTTGTAAATAATTTTTACACCTCTTGCTTGTTTTAATTTCTAATTCCAACAAATAAATAAGTTGTAAATAATTTTCTAAGTTGTAAATAAGTTGTAAATAATAATTGTTCTAATTAATTTCTAATTCCAACAAAATAAATAAATAAGTTGTAAATAATTCTTTTAAGTCGTAAATAAATTGTAAATAATAATTCCAACAAAGAAATAAGTTGCAAATAATTTTCACACCTCTTGCTTGTTTCAATTTCTAATTCCAACTGACTTCGAGTAAGATAAATTTTTACACAAAGACTGTCAAAAATCTGTGCCGCATCATTATTAATAATAACAATCATCTATACGAACACAGCTTCACGTCATAGCCAACACTCTCTGCTTTTTCTACTTCGACTATCATAAAAAAGCAACAAGCTCCTCCCCAATTAATTCGACTCTGATCACCAACCAGTAGCAAACCGATCGAGCCAAATCGTATCCGCAAAATCGCGATCTGTCACTGACATCCCCAACGCGGCACAAACACACTGGCTCACTGAAGACTATCATGAAGAAACGACGTACAAGTAATCAAACACTTGATATTCTTGACTATCCTTGTACGAGAGAGACGTACGTAAAATTTAATACGAGAGATAAAGAGCACCATATTTTGGTAATAAGATTTTGATTACTCTCGAGTCGGAGAGAGATGAATGCACTCACTGGAAGTCTCATGGCTGGCTGGGAGAGAAAACGGATGAACGGTGGATGCTCGGTTCGCGGGTCTACGAACGGATATCTGTGAACGAGGCTGCCGTGGCTCTTCTATATACTCGGACTCAGGCTCGGTGTAATTGGTCGGCTAAGCAGACGGGCCGGTGGCTACCTACTTTTAAAGTATTCTGCCTCCGGTAACGAGCGAACCATCGGGGCCCTCGGGATATTATTCGGGCCGATTGCAAGAATGCCGCTGGCGCAACTCGGTGTACAAAGCCGATCAGTTTTCACCGACGACGTGTCCGGGGTTTACGGGGGTTTCGAACCCCCTTGAAGAGGAACGGTTACAGAGGACAATCAATGGATGGACGAGAGAAAAAAGAAGTATATTTACTAGAACTGTCAAAGTAATCGAAACGGTTAATTTAGGATTGCTTTTGTTAGAAATTTTATAGATATAAAACAGAGATTTTGATAATATTTAATATTTAACGCTTTTAATATTATTTTTAATAATTATTTTAATAATGGTTTGATCATATTTTTTAGAGATTTTAATAATATATTGTAATAAAGGCTTCTGTTAATTTATTTCCCTCCGGAGAGGATGATCATTAAGTCGAAATGACCAATTTAATTATATTTCTTGGAAGTTTTATAGATAAAAGAAACAGTACATTTTTAGAGATTTAAATGATCTTTCGTAAAATACGTAGACGAAGGCTTGTTTAATTTATTATATATTATAATATATATTATATATTATTATTATATATTAATATTATATATATTATATATTATTATATATTAATATTATATATATAATTTATTATATTTTATTATATTTCCACAGAGGAACAATAACAGAAGATGATCAAAAGAGAAAAATCTGTCAGTAACACTAGAAATATCAAAGTTTTCCTATCTTTCTGTTTTAATGTTCTTGACCGAAATTTTATGTTAATGTTACTTGCAAGAAAAGTAAAGAGCTACAGCGGTGGATGGAAGAAAATTTAATCCTGTTACGTTCTTTTGATCGTTATTTCAATTTTGTACTAAAGTTTCTTTCAAAAAATGAAATTCTTTTATTCGCCGACGCAGAAGAATAATTGAAGTAAGAGAAATCGTAATAAGATCAAACAGTGAGGGATAGAAAGGAATAACGTAAATTTAAAAAATAAAACTATGTTTTATAAAAAAATGTTTCAAGCACCAGTATGTCATAATGATCAAGAAACTTTTAGTTTAAGGAACAAATAAAATATAGTTGAACAAATAAAATAATTCTTTATATCATTATAGAATGTAAAATAGAAAAAAGGAGAAAATGTAAATGTAAATAAATGTAAATAAAAGTATAAAATAGAAAAAAAGGCAATTGGTCATTTCTAGGAATCTACAAGAATCGAGTGAATCTATTTCTCAATTCACACTAATAACAAAGACAAACGTAATCATACATTTAATGTAAGAAGTACGATTACATAGCATAGCATAATTAGCACAAAATTAAATGCTGTTATTTAATCGATCTTTTGTAAGTTAAAGGAAGCTTGAACTCAATCAAACCGGTTTCGTGTATCAAACGTGTTCATTTATTCCTGTTGATCCTCTAATACGCGTAGCAGCGGCGGGATCATTTGGGAATAAAAATGAAAAACCGACTAGAAATCGACTAGCAATATATTTATAAAATATTGATAAGTTAGTAATCGAAAATAGAGCGAAACTATTTAAGCCGTTTTAAAAGAGATAAAACACGCAATCTCAAAGGATCTCGAACTCTGTAAATCAAAATTTCTCTCTCTCTCTCTCTCTCTCTCAACAGAGAGAAAGAACAAAACCCATTCCTTTACGCGTGTCGTAACTAATTGTAAGTTAATAACGTGCAAAAATGATTTTCCATAAACGACTCAAATTTTATCTGAAAGTTTGAGAGAAACGAACGACGCGGAATAATGATAAAAATCATCGAAACTTCGAATGCAAAAGATTCTCGAGTGGAATAGCTACGCCACTGGCTGCGCCCCTGAACTTTCAACTATAAAAATACGACGGGACAAACTGTAAATCCTGAGAGTTATCTTCAGACGTCATCCTCACTTCTTCGACTTCGTACGAACGTGCAATTCAATGGAGAAGCAAACGTGCACGGTTCGATTCCATCGGGGACGAGATTTTATCTAGCCTCCTCTGAGATTCCACTGGTTTATCTCTCCAAGTTGTTTCATCGAAACGAACAAGATGCAACAGTAGCGCGTAGCAGTGATAAAACAGCAATAATGAACGTGTTAATCTGTAATTTCGACGTGCATTTGCCCTGTCGACGAACGAAATTTTCGAAAATTGCGTCGCCCTCTCGTTGCGAAAGCGCGGCTTCGCCAAACCAATTTCCTCGGGCGAAAATTTATTAAATCGATCCGTGTGAAAAAAATGTCAGCTACGCGAGCGAAATTAGAGGATATTACAAACATTGCAGAAGAGAGCTACAACACATTCTAAACGAACCAGAGTTCCAACTTTGGCCCTTTTTTTTTCCATCGAGCCTGGGAGATCACAGTAATTTTCGAAATTACCAAATCCTCGTTACCGTCATTGCGAGACACGTGCTTCTCGAGAGAAACAGAAAGTTTCCAAAGCGGGAAGTTTTTATTGTTGAAACCTAAAGAACTATACGTAGTTCTTTTTCTATGGATTCTAGTTTCAAGCAAGCTCATAATTAATATACTGAGAGTTATGCCTCGCCTAAACGGTAGTGAAACGTTATTGCTTTCTTTGTACATGTTCAGCTTGACTAAATCGCAATGTTATTTTGCAACGGTTTGTAATTAGAATTTATAAATTATTTATAATTTATATATTCATAATTTATAAATTATTTACAATTTATATATTCATAATTTATAAATTATTTACAATTTATATATTTATAATTTATGAATTAGAAGAGATCGCAATAATATGGTGTATCGATAATAAGAATGAAGTTAGTAAAAGTAACGAGATTTTCATTTTCCGTAACGAGCGAGGAGAATGCGATTTTTTTCAAGAGTCAGACAATTTTATTTGTTATAAAACAAACTCGCATGTACGTTGAAGAAGTGCGTTACGTAAAAACAGCAAAACCTTCACGCTGCACCTGTAACAGAAGAAAAAAGGAAAGGAAATGAATTACACGCCTAATGTATTTTCACGAAACTCTCAGTTGGTTAATTTCACTAGCTACCGAGAAGATTGAAAAACACGGAGACGAAAAATCTTTCCACGAGCATGCATAATCATCAGTCACGGAATTAATATCTTTTAATTCACTGTGACTATACAACGCGTATTTCGTTTATATTTAATAAATGATAAATAAAATTAAATTAAAATAAAATTAAAATAAAATGATATTAAAATATTAAAATAGAATTAAAATAAAATAATTTTAAAATATTAAAATAGAATTAAAATAAAATAATATTAAAATATTAAAATAGAATTAAACTAAAATGATAATGAAATATTAAAATAGAATTAAAATAAAGTGATAATGAAATATTAAAATAGAATTAAAATAAAATAATATTAAAACATTAAAATAGAATTAAAATAAAATAATAATAAAATTATATCTAATAAATAGTAGAAACGAAATAAAGGCCTGAATGTTGTTTCTTTTCCAAACCAGCAATTTCACCAGTAATTATCCCCTCTGTTCAATGGAACATCAAAAATCGGCGATACAATGGTCCAGGAAACAAATATACCGGCAAAACCGAAAGATCGAGCTGGAAGATTGGCTCGATCCAACGGAGTTAATTAGCACTTGTAACACGATGTACCAAAAAAAAAAAAAAAAAGAAGAAAAAACGCAACACGAACCCTTGACGAGGAAAGTTCCTCGGTAATATTCGAAAGGCACGAGGAGAAAAAAGGATACACATTCTGCGGAAACGAACGGAGAAAGTCCTATCGCAAGGAAGAACTGTATTTCCACGAAAAATAGAACGTTGCTCGACGCTCTACTATCGAATCCCGAAACAGCGAACGATTTTCTTCGTTCTGCGTACGTGATGAAATCGTCTTTTTACTTATTGATCGAATTACAAACGATCGCTATTAGCAGGTTTCACAATTAAAGATATTGCTTGAGCCACGAAATTTTTTTCTTCGTTTCAACGAAGTTATTAACTCGAGGATAATTTAAAGAAAAAATTGCTTTACTCGATTTTTTTCCAAGTTTAAACAATAATTTCACAGATATTGCTCTTTTCTAATCGCAATCAATCGTCGATCAAATCGGATCAAAATCTTACTCTCGATGAGGCTGTAAAAGTTGATCGGCTAACTCACTCGGCGCATGGAAATGAAAGAAAGGAGGGTAATAACGCGGCAACCGAAGAAACTGAAGATTAATCATCGTGATTGCAGAAATCAGATGTTACAGCAGCAAAATGATAGTGGAGGCATATTAATGATAGGACACGAACGATATCGATAGTACGTTACGATTTGTATCGTTTCGTGAGATAACGAATAGACGAGTTTCGAGAAAGATGGTTTGTTTCTTTCTTTAGTTTCTTCCTGTTCGATTCACGCGAGGGAAACGCGTTTGAAGATATAAGGAAATGGGAAGTGGCTTGTTTAAGTATTGAATTAAATAAGCGAGCGCTTCGTTAGGAACGAAATTTCCACGAGACGAAAAAGGAATGGCTTGCGTGAAAATAACTTATAACGTTGCGTAGATATTTTTGGTTTCATCTTTCGAATTAAGTGCGAAATTGTGCTCGAATTTCTTCACCATGTGATTTTATTTATTAAAATAGGTATGATGCAATACTAATTATCTTGGCAGATACCAAATGGAAAAACAATATATTCTATTACGTGATTTATAATAATAAGAAAGTTAATTAGCAGCAGAGAGCGTTGAGTGAGTTTTCTTTCATTATCCACGTCATAAATTTTAGTACTATGTGCATTTTTAGTTAACGCTTATGAAACATTTTTGTTAGAAATTGTTCCAGATCCCTTTGTAAATTTATTTATTTAATTTTTTTTCTTCACTTTATTAAAATTATACATGTACATATACGTATACCATTCTCTTTCATATTCAAATGAATAGCGAATGAAACTCGTTGAAATCTTTTCTTTATGGTAAAAATTTCTAGGAATCTATACTATGAAAAATATATTGCGTTTATTCCTTGAGAAACGCACATTCGGATCCGCGAATAAAGAATATTAACGGAATGACGTCAAATTGATGTTGAAATTCTCACTAGTTAATTGCAATACGGAACTGCAATATACATTCCTCACAACATTTTTACAATTCAAGTTTTCGTAACCCAGTTCAACTACTATTTCGTTACATTGAACAAACCGATTTTATAAGATATCGTAAGCTGATGCTGACGTTCAACAAGGAAGTATGATTCACGTTTTCTCAAGGAACGAGCGTAACATTCCAAGTTTCTCTTCTAAGTTTAATCTCTCCTAACAATGTAATTCGTGTACAAGAATTGTTTATTTAATTCAATAATTTGCATCGATAAATGCAATATTCAATATCGGCACAAAGCGAGAGAATCGTGAACCTTTCGTTGAACACGAACTATTCGCTGTCCGCAGGGTAATATATACTAGTTGGTAAGTAAGAATTCCCACGTAATCAAACCTGCACTACCTACAATCGTGAACAACGATTTGTCTGAGCTTTTGCCCGAGCCATCAACCAAGAACGGAATTATAATCAATTCAGCTAAGGAGGAAGGAATATTTATGCAATCTTTAGAATTGAAGCGACATGTTTTAATTAAATATGAAATACGACAATAAATAAGATACACAAGAACAAATCTTTTAATTGTATAGAACTAAATCACAATCACAGCCAATCAACTCACATAATGTTATTTAATTAGTAATACTAATATATTATAATATATAATAATTAATAATAATTAATATATAATATATAATATTAATTAATTAATAATTGTATCACAGAATGATATAATAGCAAATAACAATTCTTGAGGTCTCACTACATCGAAGAGCCATGATTTTCGTTATAATCGAGACGCAATGAGGAAGCCAAGAATTAAGAAAATATTTCCAAATAATTGAAAATTGTAAATTGTAGAAATAATATTGTATTTTATGAAAAAAAAAAAAGAAGCGTAATTATCATTTGAACACCGGATATTATAATATATTATAATATATAATAAATAATATTAATAACATTAATAATAATTAATAATTAATAATTAATATATAATATATAATATTAATTAATTAATAATTGTATCACAGAATGATATCATAGCAAATAACGATTCTTGAAGTCTCACTACATCGAAGGGCCATAATTTTCGTTATAATCAAGACGCCAAGAAGCCAAGAATTAAGAAAATATTTCCAAATAATTGAAAATTGTAAATTGCAGAAAATATTGTATTTTACGAAAAAAGAAGAAGCGCAATTATCGTTTGAACACCGGATATTATATCGTAAGAAGGAAAACACCGATCGGAGAAATGTCAGACGAAGCTGGCAAGAGGAAAACCGAATGGCAATGGAAAGGCGTGGTAGAAGATCAGAGTGCAATCTGCATTATTCTGTAGCTGTAGCGCGCGGGCGGCCACCAAGGACTCCTCGGGTCAACGTGATCCAATCAGCCGTATAAAACGCCCCTCTCGACGATTCTTCGACCACTTTTGTACTTCTCGTCGCCTCGTTGTCGTTATTTCTCCATTATGAACACCGTATACGTAAGTGCCCGCTTTCAATATCGCTTCGAAGCTCTTCAACTGCATTGTCAACGAAATAATCGATTACTTTCTCGTTGCATGTGCAACATAGGCGTGTTTCACCATTGTCACTTCATAACACGTCGTCGTTTCGTACCAGATCTATCACAAATTGATATTCGTTTCATCGTCGTTAGACTTCTTATGATATATTTTAATACACTAAAGCTTGCCTTCTTATTAAAATACATTTAATATTAAATTTCCAGGCATTGCTGTTCTCCACGATTGCATTGATCTCGTGTCAGTCGGCGAACAGCCAATATCAGCCACCTCAACAGGCAGCAATTCTCAGTGATGCCAGATATCTGGCTGGAGATGGAACGTTCGGCGCCGCTTACTCGCAAGAGGATGGCGTGGAGTTCAAAGAGGAAAGCGACGTTTATGGAAATCGGCGTGGATCTTACTCCTACGTCGATCCTACCGGTCAAAGACGCACAGTGACGTATACGGCTGGGAAAAATGGCTTTCAGGTACGTGTCGAGATGTTAGAATGCCAGTGCTCTCATTTGTCATCCGGTGCTGCGATGTTAGTGACACATATTTCATTTTCTGTTTGAACGAACAGGCTACAGGCGACGGCATTCCTGTTCCACCCCCGCAAGCCCCGCCTCAACCAGAATACGTGCCCCTGCCACAATACAATCCACCCGATTATCAACCACCTCGTTACAATCCACCCTCCCATTCGTATCAACGTTACAATCAACCGAGCTACGAGGTGCAACCAGAACCCGAGCCACAACCTCAGCCCCAGCCTCAGTTCTCACCTCGGCTGGCGTATCAACCTCAGCCGCAATATCAATCGGGGCCTCAGCCGCAGTATCAACCAAGACCTCAACCGCCACCCGAGATTCAATCCATCTCTTCGTACAACCCTCGACCGCAATATCAACCACCCGCGAGACCGTTGCCACAGTACAACGCTATAGCGACGCCACCACCTCGAAGATTCTATCCACCCGGGAAGTTGGACTTCAACAGGACTCCGGATGGCTACTCGTACACGTTTAGCAAAAGCTAAGTAGAAGTTAGGTAACTAGAAAAGGGAGCAATCGGGGGGGGGGGGGGGGGGTTTTTTNTTTGTGACTATCTCCTTGAATTCTAGCAAAACTGAAAAACCGCACAGAGATTTGTATCAAAGAGATTGTGCATCGAATAATGTTTGTCATATATTTGTGAACATCTTCCTCGAAATTCTAGTGAATTAAAATTGCAAAATGCAAGAAATTTATATTATAGAGACATATATATTAATAATTTTTGTCCAATTTGTGACTATCTCCTTGAATTCTAGCAAAACTGAAAAACCGCACAGAGATTTGTATCAAAGAGATTGTGCATCGAATAATTTTTGTCATATATTTGTGAACATCTTCCTCGAAATTCTAGTGAATTAAAATTGCAAACTGCAAGAAATTTATATTATAGAGATATATATTGTGTATTATAGAATTGTGTATCTTTTATAAGTTATTGGAGTAAGACTAACTTTTTCTCATTAAATGCTATCTTTTTAGAATATTTGTTAAATTGCGTTAAATCGCGATATCACTTATTTTGAATTACGTTCTTATCCGCTTCAGGCATTTGACTGAATTTAAAAATACGCCGTGTCACAAATTTCTAAGAAAATTACAGCAAATGTAACGAGCGGAAATTAAATACACGGTCGTGCATTCATAATTTATCGAGAGATTGTAACTATCTAGAGCCTTGTCCATGATCTTACTACAAGGCTCCTCGCGTGAAACAAGTTGAACTTCCTCTGAACCACTGCATAAATTTTGCATAAATTCCTCAGGAAAATGTAACGAATAAATTATAAATTAAGAAGAATTTCTTTGTTCACGTTAACATGCGGACAGTAGCTGAGCAATTATTCGCGACATGATACATTAGCTCGAGAAAGTTCTATTGACTTTTATATTTGCAAATATTTTACTGACCGATATTTGTTCTCGCTTATTAATTTCAACCAGTTAAACGAGTTCCCATTCGTAGATTGCAGATGTACAAATATATACAAAATGCACATGTTTCAGTTTCTCTAGGCCGTTGATTCTAGAAACCAGAATAAAAATTTTCAATTGCAACGATACGACCACGAAGTGAAATGAGTAACGCCTCGTTTTATTACGGACCTCGTAAGAAACAATCGAGTTATAAATTCTACGCCAGACGAACAATATCAATTAAAATTTCTCACGTTGGAACGAATTTAAGGAGGAGAGAATGGCAAGAATTTCCGTCAGATCGGACGTTTCGCGCCGACGGACAGGTTATTCAGTATCTTGGGAAAAAGTCGTTGAATCGAATTTTCTTAATCGGTTAAACTGGTCGACGCCCCGAGATTCTGCATGGCAATTTCCTTCACAAATGCGAGCACGATCCCGCGCGCTTCGGGGTCACGTTACTTTCATTTAACAACCTTTGGCGTATCCCATGCTGTTTCCACGATCAACGGAGGATCCCACGATCCGCGAGGGAGGATACGTGATCTTTTAGGCGTGATTCATACCTCGTTGCAAATATAGGTTGAGCACGTTAAAGCATCTGCCTTTTTGAAACTGGTTTGCAGTACACCATTGCATTGTTCGCTTCGCGTTCTACATTGCACGACGTCTGTTCCTGGAATAATGTCATTTCGTTATTTGAATAATTGAAAACAAACTTTCCGAGGAGGAAACGTCCATGCTCGTTTGAAATTTACCTCCGCCGAAATTCTTACAGCCGTCTTACAAGTGTCGTCTACTTTATGCACTTTCGCTGCCAGTGGGTTACACGTTCACGTCAGCTGCGCGTCACGCCCTGTTTGGAAACGGAAGGAAAGCGTTAGACAAAGGGACAATTATCTCATTATGCTGGCTCGCGTACGAGTAGTATCCGAGTGCAGTTGGAACGTAGGTAAAAATGTCATTGGACAGGGCAGTCCGTTTATCGGCGTTGGCAATACGAGGCGCGGCAAGGCAAACCGGCCGTATCGAAGCAGGAACTCGATAACCTTAGCGGTGGGCCGAAAGAAACGCGCATACCGTAACGTTTCGCGTCACGTCGACGTCGCCGCCGTAAGAAAGTCGATCGCCGAGTGAATTTACGACCGAACGGGTGCAGCTCGCGAGCTGGATGCAGCGTACGATACTGCACCGGTTACATATTTGTCGAGCCACTCGAATGTCCTGCACTCGAGTTTCGTTCCATCACCTTCTTTCCTTTTTTTTTTCTTCTTCATTCGACTATCATAAGCTGAGCGACTTGCATCACGACAAACTTTTGGACTTTCAGCAAGATCCACTCAAAGTTAGCCTTTGTAGTATCGAATATATACCGCAATGTATGTAAAAGGTGAATATTTTCCTTTACTTTTTCAGTCGTGTTTTATTTATAAAGGTATATTGGTTATACATTTCGTTTTCATGATTATGGCAGTAATATACTGACTCTGAGTAAGTAGCTGCACGTGACATCAACAGTATAAAAGTAGTCTAGAAACAGCTGCTGTCTAGAGGCAGTGGCATCAGACATTCACTCCTCACAACAAAACAAAAAAAAAACGATAATAATGAAAGAGAAAATTGAAGAACGAGAGGGGGGAGAGAAAAAGAAACAACTCTCATCTTACCTCTATCAAACTAACTTATTAATAACTAATTGTTTAAAAACTCTCATGCCAGTGTGCCTCCTTAACACGTGTCAAATTTCAAATGATCAGAGCGAAAATCGGATAAGTCCCAGAGAAAAGGCACTATACGTCTATTAAATATATAGTATTCCACTCTCGATCAGTACAAAGTACTACGATATCATTTAAAATCCATTACGCTTTACCTCTCGCATGCGTTTCGCTTCCGCGTGAAATTCTCCTCGAAGAAACAAGAGAAAAGTCGAGAAACTTCAGAAAATGATCGCTGGATCGCGTTTTATTTTTTTCTATCCTCGATCCTCCATCCGTTATCATCTCATCATTATCGTTTATTATTATTGCAATCTCTAGAAATTTACAATTCTCGTCGACGGCGTGCAAATGGCAGGCATAATTTTTCCCGAACTCGAACGTGCTGGTTCCCGGTTCACTCCCTTCATTCGTCAAAAATCAGAAGCGTAAAATCAGTTTTCATAATTGCACCTTCGTCTCGATCGCGTTCATGCGCATTTGCGACAGATGACGCGTGTGTGATGAAAACATTGGGAATCTACTTACGCGAGTCGTTCAACTGGCTTTGTGTCAGATTCTCAACGACGATAAGAAATCAGCGCTCTCAGTGACGTTTTTAGAATAAACCGCAGGACAAGTGACTTTCGTATTTCGTATTTCGTTCCACACTATTCTAAGTACGTACAAACTGTTCAAAATAAAATGTTCTTGTTAACGTCCGCTCGTTTGACGAAAGGCCGGCATTTTTTTTTTTTTTTTTTTATCTTCCTTCTCTCTGCTTCCTTGACATCGTTGACTAATTAAGCCACTATAAACGATCGTTACATTATTATTTTTCTGTCAGCGAACGTTTCTCCCTCGTAATTACTCGCAAAATCCCGTCCCCCATTTTTTGTCCCTTTGTTCGTACTCTCCCATCATTTTTCTCTTCGCCGTAACAATCGCAACTATTGTCCATACGATTAACGCTATATTGCACTATTTAGAATTATACAAAATATATACCTAACGGTAGGCTTAGCTTTTTTTTTCCTCTTTTTCTTTCTTTTCATTCCCTTTTTTTCTTTTCTTTTTTTTTTTT